GGGGGGGGGGGGGGCGAGGCCTGAGGCGCCCTGGAGTCGTCGGAGTCCTGGGAAGCGGCGCGGTTACCGACACTGTTGTCGTTTGAAACCAGGTGGCTTTGAGAGCTACGGCGGCTCCAGCTACGGGGGAGCCGGCGGCTACACGCAGTCGCCGGGGGGCTTTGGCTCGCCGACCCCTTCTCAGGCCGAGAAGAAATCGGTGAGTTGGGAGAGCGCTTGGTCCCGTTTCACCCCGTCCCGCACCTCCCGCCTCCGCCGTGCGAGGACGCCCGGGCGGCCGAGGGTGCTGAGCGCGGCCCGGGCCGGCGCCCACCTGCCGTGGGCTCCCCGCGTCCTCCCGTGCAGTGCCGGACGCGGGGGGAGTGGCGTCGGCCCCGGGTTCGCATCCGCGTTCGCCCGGCCGCGTGTGGAAATTTACCGGGACGGCTAGTGAGTCCTCTCGTTGCACACGGTCCCCAGCCCTCTTGGGAGTCAGTTTTGCGCCTGCTAAACGGGATCCGTGATACACCCTTCAGGGCTGTTGGGAGACTTCAGATATGTATAAAGTGCCCCAGAGTCACTTTCAGTAATGATCCCAGGTACTTTTGTTAAAAAGAACACGAAAATAAACAAAATAAAAAGAACACGAGCGTTGGAGCCAGAACAGCGGGTCCCGAGTCGGCTTTGCGCTTTAACCGGTGGCGTGGCTTCGCTGAAGCGGCTTGAACCGTGTGGCCCGTGGTCTTTGTCGTCTGACGGCGGTGCTGGAACGACTCCCGTCGCGGGGTGGCTCTGAGGGTTCTGAGGAAAGGAGCGGGTAGGAAAGTGATCGGTAAAAGGCTGTCCAAACGCTCGGTGTTCGCGCTCTCAGAAGGGAGTTTGCATTAACAACTGCTGATGGTTTCCTCCTTTAAAGACGGGTGGATCTGCCTTCTCCTTGGGTGTCAGTCACATGCCGTGTGAGGATTCAGTATCCACGGGTTCCGCGTGTGTACAGTGATACGCTTTCTCCTAAACTGTTAATTCGTGGGCGTGTGCTGGTGGGAAGGAATTCATTGATAATTCCCACGTTTGGACGTTGCTTTATGTTTTTCGTCTAAATTGTTTCGTATAATCCCATGTGGTATTGATTGTTTACTCGGTTGCACAACAGAGGCTCAGGGAGATGAGGGGGCTGCTTGAGCTTGCATAGCTGGTAAGTAGCTGGAACCAGACAGTGCACCTGTGATGCTGAGCAAACCCAAAGTCTGATGAGCAGTTTCTTCTCTCTAGAATAGTTTTCTTTCTTTCTTTCTTTCTTTTTTGGTGAAGAAGATTGGCCCAGAGCTAACATCTGTGGCAGTCTTCCTCTATTTTATATGTGGGATGTCCCCACAGCCTGGCTTGATGAGCGGTCTGTAGGTCTGCACCCAGGATTCAAACCTGTGATCCCCGGGCCACTGAAGCAGAGTGCATGAACTTAACCACTAGGCCCCGGGGCCAGCCCCATATTGTAGTTTTCCTTTTCCCAGGAAGACTAGAGGAGGCTCCAGCCCTCTAACGTTGTCTTCCTTGAGGTTGTGAAGAGAAAGCAAAAGATAACTGGTTCTCATCTTTTCTCCCTAAGCTTAACTATTTTTCTTCCTTCCAGTGGTTAGAATTTTTATCCCAGGATCCCTAGCTTGGGCTGTGTATTAAGACAGCTTTTCAGACAACAGTGATGGTTATAAGCTGGAGATTCAAACCCAGGTCTTTTTGTTTTTAAATCTAGTGCCTTTTCCACAGTAAATGAGATAAACGCCTTATCTAAAATGTTTCCTATCCACTACAAACCTATTATATTCTATTGAACCATGTGAAATTCCCAGTACTGAGCATTTTTCTACCTATAAAAATGGCGGTTTCATACAGCACTGTCAGAGTAGCCTCTGGTTCACAGTCAGCTAGAAAAAAAGTTTTTTCAAAATTAAGCATGCTTGTGCTGGCACACTCTCTGAATCTCTTTGGAACAAACCAGGATCTCCGTGCAATCCGTTCCTGGCATGTAGTAGGTGCTCATTTCAAAAGAAGGTATCTCTGATTTGAGATGAATTTGAAGGTCCTACTAACACCTGTCATTAAATGTAACTTTCTTAGCTGAGGAGTAATATTTGTTGAACACGTACTACCTGTAGAGATTGGCGTTAGCGTTTTTATATACATTGTGTGTTTCGTTTACAATTTGAAAGGTGGATATCCTCATTTTGCAGAAGAGATGGTGCTGTGTCCAAGGCCGTGGAGCCGGGATTTGAACACAGCTCTCGAGGACTGTCTGCCTCCAAAGCCATTGTTCTTGCTCCTGTTAACCATAGTCGTTCTTAGTTTTCCTATGCTGAAAATACAATGAAAATCTAACCTGTGATAGGCGAAAACAGTATATCGTAGAGAATGAGAGCGAGAACATGGGACTTCAGCAAATTTTAAATCTAGAAATACTAATATAGCATTAACTTCACATATAAAGTACCATAAAGTAAAGGTGAAAAACAGTTGATTCCTTTGCATCCTTATTAAAAGCTGTTGCAGATGTAAAGGGTGAGGACCAATAGCTGGCATCGTAATTGCTGACATTTATTGAGTGCTTGCAGTGTGCCAGGTAGTATTCTAGGTGCTTCACCGTATATTTAATTTTCATAATGATTTTATCATTCCTAGTTTTACAGGTGAGGAAACAGGTCCAGACGAGTTGAGAAACATGACATGAACACATCGCTCCTGAGTGGTAGAGCCGTAATCTTAACCCCCAAGCATGGCTGCTGCCTTTTGTGACCTGCACTGGTGGTTGGCTGGGCTTACTTTATACCAGCGTTGCAGCGCTCACCGTTCACAATGATGCTTCAGCAGTGGGAAATGTTGCTAGTGTTGTGGACCTTCAGGGCAAAACTGCGACTGTTAAATCCATGAAGGCCAAGAGTCTACTATGTTCCGTCTTACAGAACAGCTATTGAGTTGCTTCATGTTGATTTCTGACGGGAAGAACTCTAATCTTCAATCCACCATGCATTTTCTGCCTTGTACATATTCTCTCTCTGAGTTTGTGGGGATACGCACTTGGCCTCAGCCTCTGATGTCCATTCCTTACCCACTGTTTTTTTACTGTCACAATTTTCATGCTTCAGAGTACAGCCCTAATGCTCCCTCTTCTCAAAAGGACCATTAAATTTTTGTAAGGGGCCAGCCCACTGGCATAGTGGTTAAGTTTGGGCACTCCGCTTCGGTGGCCCAGCGTTCAGAGGTTCAGATCCCAGGCACAGACCTAGCACTGCTTGTCAAGCCATGCTGTGGTGGCATCCCACATAAAATAGAGGAATATTGGCACAGATGTTAGCTCAGGGACAATCTTCCTCAAGCAAAAAGAGGAAGATTGGCAACAGACGTTAGCTCAGGGCCAATCTTCCTCACAGAAGAAAATTTCTGAGATATCACATAGCGCATCTCATCCATAGTGTGTCAAGACCAGGTTTGTTACTTACATTTGTACCTCCCTTTGGTTAGGAATGTGTTGAGGACAAATCCTATCCTGTTTTTCTTATCTTCATGTCACCTAGACAGCCCCTGGCCAGTGGTAGGCAACAGTATGAGTCTGCACTGTTGGTAGGCTGCTTTAGGATGTGATTTGAGTGTCCTCTAGACACTCTTCTGCCCATCACATCCTGTCCCTTCCCTCAAGATGTCCAGTGTGGCTGAGCATTTGTCCCATTTCCCCCAGGACTTCTATCTAATTGTCAGAACATCTGTCCTAAAGGAACTGTGCCTCTAACTTTTTATCACAAGACTTAGAGCAACTCCAGAGTGCTGCCTCTGCTGGCCATTGCTTACACCCTTTCCAGTTATCATCTCATCCGGCACCTGAACCGCCAGCTCCAGCTTACCTTCAACGAGTTTCCTCTTTGAAGGTCTGGAGACGGGTCACCCTTCCTTATGCTGTGCCTACTCTGCCTTCTCATTTTGACTCGTCCCTAGTGCCACACAGACTCACCCATTCATCGGGAGCTTTGGAGTCAGACAAACTGACTTTGAATTCTCAAGTGTGGCATTATTATTAGCTATATGAGCCTGGTTTCCATCTCTGTGAAGCAAGGATAATGAGGTTCATTTTGAAGATTCAGTGTTATATATGTAAAGTGCTTGGCACATAGCACTGATAAATGAGTTATAGTTACTATTTTCTTAATTGAATTTATGCGTACTTTTTCTTTTCAGAGAGCCCGTGCCCAGCACATTGTACCCTGTACCATATCTCAGCTGCTTTCTGCCACTCTGATTGATGAAGCGTTCAAAATTGGGAATGTAGAGATTTCACAGGTGTGTAAAATAATTTGTGGAAGAGTCACTTAATCATATGAAGAATGAAATAAAACTTACTTCGTTTAAAGATACATAAATGTTGCTTTGGTTTCCAGGAAAACCAGACTTTTTTTTTCTTCTGATCTAGGTCACTATTGTGGGTATAATCAGACATGCGGAGAAAGCTCCAACCAACATCGTTTACAAGATAGATGACATGACAGCTGCACCCATGGATGTTCGCCAGTGGGTTGACACAGATGTAAGCGTTTGTTTTTAAATTAGGGTGGGGTTACTTTGGGACTTTGGAGATGTCGAACTTTTTTAGTCATACTTTTTAAAAGTTTTCCTTACTATAAAAATAATACGTAAGCAAGACATCAAAGGCAGAAACCCTAAAATGAAAGGTTTATACATTTGATTTCATAAAAATTTAAAACCTTCTAAAGATCCCAAAATACTATAAACAAAAGGCAAGTGACAGGAGGTGCTAGAATGTAAACTTCGTGAGAACAAAGATTTTTATTTGGTCACCACTGTTTCCCCAGCACATAGGACAGTGCGCGTTACATAGTAGCCCTCAGTAAATACTGTTTAAGTGAATGGGAAAAATTTTTGTAACATGTTACAAACATTTAAAATTTTTAATTAATAAAAGCTGTTACAAAGCAAAAAAAAAAAAAAAAAAAGCAACTGCACCTTAGAAAAATGGGCAAAGAAGATACACAGGTAATTCATAAAAGATGAAATGCAGATTATAACAACAATAACAAAAGCAGGTTTAATAAACATTAAGATACCATTTTTAAGTTGGCAAAGGAAAAAAAAGAATGATAATGTCCACTTCTGGTGAGAACAGTAGCTGGCATAGTGCCTCTCATGCTTAAATATTTGTTAAATGATTTGTTCCTGTTTGTCTAAGGAAGTAGATACCATCCTACCCTGATGGTATGACTATAAATTGGTATAACCTTTCTCAGAAAACAGCCAATGATCAAAATCATCCATCAAAAATATTGACCTAGCACTCCACTGCTGGAGATTTGCATTAAGGAAATATTGAAAGACATGCAAAGATTCGGTTGTAAGAATGTTGATCATGGCATCACAGTCATGCGCCACATAACGACATTTCAGTCATTGACAGAGTGTGTGTACAACAGTGGTCCCCTAAGATTAGTACCATACAGCCTAGGTGTGTAGTAGGCTATGCCATCTAGATTTGTGTAAGTACACTGATGTTCGCACAATGATGGGAATGGCCTAATGACGCATTTCTCAGAAGGTGTCCCCATCATTAAGCAACACATGGCTGTGTTTATAATGATGAAGAAAGCAATCTCAGAATGCTAGCAATAGAGTATTATTAATTAAACCGTGGTATATTTATGAAGTACTGCAAATGATGAATGTATGCATTGTCACAGTGTCTACCATAAATTATTGAGAGGAAAAGAGCATGTTATGAGGTAGTATGCATGGTATGACCGTGTTTTTGCAAAACAGCTTGTATATGAGTTTATATAAACACGGAGAAAAATTGACTGAAAGGAAATATATGCTTTTTATCCTGTTTTTAAATTTGTGTTTACTGATTCAGAATTATTTATATTTATTTGCTTTCTACCATGTGCCCTTTTTTTCCAGTTATTTTATTGAAGTCATAATGGTTTATAACATTGTGTAATTTCAGGTGTACATTATTATTTGTCAATTTCTGTATAGAGTGCATTGTGCTCACCACCAATAGTCTAATTTTTATCTGTCACCGTACATATGTGCCTCTTTACCCCTTTTGTCCCCCGCCCCAATCCCCTTCCCCTCTGGTAACCACTAATCGATTCTCCTTTTTATTTTTTAATTGGGCGGAAGGACTCTTGGTCTTTCATGTTGTTTGCAAAATACATTCATTACACAAAATTTGGATAATAAACATTTTGCGTGCTCTTTTTACTTCAAGAACCACAAGTCATCTGCGGAGGAATGGCTTAGTCATTATGCATTCTTTGCTTTTAGTTTCTTAGAAAAATACAGGATAATTCATTCAGCAATTATTTTTGGAGTACCGATTCTGAACCAGACTGTGCTTGGTTTCATGTATGCAAAGAATGAAAAAGACACAGTCTTTGCCATCAAGTGGAAAGATAGCTACTACAGATGCCTTATACTACACGTTCACATAAAATGTACCATGCTTACTAATAAAACATTTAAAAATCACCTGAAATCCCACATCCCAGAGATGACTACTGTTATAACACATTTTGGTAAATACCCTTTCAGATGTTTCTCTCTGCGCATCTGCACGTACAGATATATGCATACAGTTTTACATAAAGGATGATATGGTATGCAACTGCTCTACAATCTGCTTTTTTCACTCAAAACTGTCTTGTGGAACTGATTCCTAACATCAATAAATAGAGATTTACATCATCATTTTTAGTAACTGCCTATTCCATCATAAGGCTACATCATCCTTTATTTAATAGTAGACTTAAGGAGGTAGCATTAAGCTCGTTTCTGATCATTTGCTATCATAGACAATGCCCCAGTGAGTATCTTTGTGTATGTCTCGCCATGATTATGAGATAATCTTCTTAAGATGAATTCTTTGAAACTAGGTTTTCTAGCTTTAAATCTCCATCGTACATTTTTCAGTCTTACATTTACATTTTTACATTTTTTACTGCCTTCCGAAAAGGTACCAATTTCTACTTCATTAGTGAATGAGAGTGTCCAGTTAGTTCTCACACCCTTTCTAACAGTGGGTTTTGTGAATCTTCAATTTTATATGATAGTTTGAAAAATAGTCTTGTCAGTGAGAATTTTCTCATTCTTTTTATTTGGATTTCTTTGGTTTTAGATTGATTTTTTTTTTTTTTTTACTAAATGTTAATTTTTGGGGTTTTCGTAAATTGTCTTTCAGTCCTTTGATTCCCCCACCCCCAGGAGTGCTTGTTTGTTTAGTTTTGTTTGTAATGGCTTGAAAAATAGTAACTTATCATAATTATACAAAAAATTTCTCTAGTTTGTCTTTTAACTTTGAAAAGCTTTTCCTAGTCTCAAATTATTTTTTTTAATTGTTTGTGTTTTCTATTATTTCTATGGTTTCCTTTTTTTTAATAAAGTCTTTGATCTATTAAGAATATTTTTTGGTAAAATGAGAGAAGTATGGATCCAGCTTTGCTTTTTCCAAGTGGTTTTAAAATGTTCTATGTGGAAATATAAAGTTTTATCTGTGGTATAGAGTCAGCTATGGAAAATAATAGATAAGTAGAGTGAAATGCAAAAAAAAAGTTGGTCTCCAGGTGATAGGATTGGGTTTTTAAAAATTTTTAAATACATATATTTTATTTTCTAGTTTTTTATAATTGTGTTTTATAATCAGAAAAGAACTAAGACTCAGCTTATATATTTTTCTTATAAATAATATGTACACATTTTAGAGAACTCAAAAAGAAATATTAAAATCATTTGTAAGTATCCCAGTTAACCATTAGCATTTTGGTTTGTATTTTCCCCCATATGGGAAACCAGCTTTTTTTATGTGTTACATCTGATCTTCCCAGACAATAAATAGAATCCTACATTATCATTTACAAAGGTGTGAAGTATGCCATTATTTGAAAGTGTACCTGTTGGATATTTAGGTTGTTTTAAAATTTTTAATGCTCTAAATTATGCCATATAAATATTCTTAAAGCTAAATGTTAATACATGTTCTTAATTATTTCCGTAAATTCCTAAAAGTAGAATTGCTATGCTGGTAAGTACATCCACCAGAAAGTTGTGTGCCTAAGAGCATTGAATGAGAGTCCCATAATTGTTTGCTTTTTTGATAACGTGTATAGCATAGGACTTTGGAAGTAGACATTACCTATAGAGATTTTAATTCTGTTTTCTGATGTTATAAAAAAGTAAATTCTAAAAGGCAGAGCAAACTAATTAGTGCCATATTAGAATCCTTTAGCTCTCTTACTTTATAACTTTCTTATTCTATACGTAATTTAGAAATTCTAAAGAGTCTTTTACCAGCATCACTAAAACCTTGCTATGTGTGTATTTTATCTTTTAGGATACCAGTGGGGAAAACGCTGTGGTTCCTCCAGAAACGTATGTGAAAGTAGCTGGCCATCTGAGATCTTTTCAGGTAAAGTCGGAAAAAAATAACAGTTAAAATGTATTTGTATGAAGTGATTTCTGGATTCATGCCTGAGTTTAGGATACTGAAGACTTGATGAAGTCTTTATGTTCAGTAGGAGTTACACTGAAGTTATTTCATTTTTCTCTTCTTCAAAAGGAAATAATGAGTTTTTACCTTAACATAAGACTAACAGAATGTAGAGAAAGAGCAGGATCTCTGCCCATAGTTGCCATCTGTAACGTCTATTAGGTGTAGATTTGGAGTCTGGAAACTAGACTCTGCTTGGTTGTCTAACCTTGGGGAAGTCATTGATCTCTGAGCCAGTTTTGCTTTTTTCCTTCCATTATTGACTATACTTGGATTAATGTTGAGTTAAAAATTTTAAGTATATATAACACATTTTCCCCACGTTGGCAAAATATTTTAACCAAGAAAAGAGCCACAGTGTTTTGATCTGAAATTGACTTGAATGTGCTCATCCTTTATTCACAATTTTCTCTTTGTTTTAATAGAACAAAAAAAGTCTGGTCGCCTTTAAGATCATGCCCCTGGAGGATATGAATGAGTTCACCACACATATTCTGGAAGTAGTCAATGCACACATGATGCTGAACAAAGCTAACAGCCAGGTGAGCAGCTTCCCTCTCATAGTTTTTTCTCTTTCCTGGAAGAACATAGATAGTGTCTGTGCTCTGACTTTGATTTCCTAGACATTTTGAAGATCAAGCCAGAAGAAAGGCATCACTCAGTCCTTAGAACATTTTCTTCATGAGTTTTACTGTGTTATTTTATTCCAAATGAAGCACTCATCTTTCTATTAGGATTACACGTTCCTCTGAACCCAGTGGCATGAATGGCTGAGGCTTAAGACACCCTTAAGTGTAGGCGCATAGGCTGAGTTTTTAGCTCCAGGATTGTCAGTCCATATTCAGAGAAAAACCCCAACTAGGACAGCCTTTTGCTGCTTTCCTTCCAACCTATTGGCTAAATAGGAAAAATTATGCACCATTATTTTGTCTCTGAAATTATATTTCTTGCTTCATATTAAGATTTCTCAACATTATTTTCTTTTGTATGATTTAATTTGGCAAGTCCATCTAGGACCATATAAAGGGTTTGTTGATTCTTGTATTAGAATGTTTTTAGATGATTCTGGTGGTAAGGTGGAAGATTGGTTACAGTAGTAGAGACTAGAGAACTGATGAGCCATTTAGGATGCTGTTGTATCCTATTCTGTGCCAAGTGCTTTGTTAAGCACTGGGGATACAGAGATAAATTCATTCATTCCTTCATTTAAAAAATATTTCCTGAGCCTGGTATGTGCCAGTCATTATTTAAGGCTCTTGGAATACGGCAGTGAACAAGATGGATAAAGCGTCTGCCTTCAAACTTACATTCTTGAGAAAAATGGCCAATAAACAAGAAAACAAATATATAGTTTTAGGTAGTTATAGTTGCTCTGAAATAAGTATAAGCAGAATGGGAGAAAAGAGTGATGGAAGGAATAAGAATGGTACAATTTTAGATAGGAGAAGAAAACTGTAAGCAGAGGGAACAGAAAGTTAGAAGCTGTGAGGCTGAAAGAAGCTTGATATACCTGAGGCCAGTGAGAAGGGCAGAGTGTCTGGAGTAAAGCAAATGACAGGGAAAATGGTAGAGAGATGTAGGCAAGGAAGCAGGACCCAGATCATGTAGGGCTTTGTAGGCCATAGTAAAGATTACTTTTCTAATTGATACTAAACCTGTAGAAGGTTTTGACTAGGGAGTGACATGGTCTGATTTACCTTTTAAAAAGCTCACTCAGGCTACTGTATTGAGACTAGACTGAGGCACCAAGAATAGCAACAGACGTAATTCGGGGGGTGGGGGGGTGCTGGCCCCATGGCCAAGTGGTTAAGTTCTCACACTCTGCTTTGGTGGCCCAGGGTTTCACAGGTTGGGATCCTGGGTGCGGACATGGCACCGCTCATCAAACCATGCTGTGGTGGCATCCCACATGCCACAACTAGAAGGTCCCACAACTAAAAATAATACCACTATGTACCGGGGGACTTTGGGGAGAAGGAAAAATAAAATCTTTAAAAAATAAAATAATTCAGGGGAATAGTAGCAGCAGCTGGGATAAAGGAGTGGTTAGACTGATATATTTTGAAGGTAGCGCTGACAGGACTTATTGGTGGGTTAGATAGAGGATATAAAGAAAAGCGAGGGTTCAAAAATGACTCCTTGGTTTGGAAGTTGAGCGACTAGATGAACCTAGCAGGTTTGGAGGGTAAAATCCAGCATTCTGTCTTGGACAGTGTAAGATACTAGTTAGATATCCACATGGGGAACAGAATGGACGGTTGGATATATAAAGCTGAGACTCAAGGGAGAGGTCAGGGCTAGAGAGAGAACTTCAGGAGTCATTGTTGTCTAGGTGATATTGAAAGCCTCAGATGAGATAACCACGGAGTTAAGGAGGTCAGAGATGCGAGCTCCAGGACACGCTAACCTTTAGAAGTCTGGAAGCAGGACAGGAACCAGTGAAAGTCAAAAAAGAAGCCTGTTGGGCAGGAGGAAAACCAGGAAATGTGATTCTGTAGAATATTCTGAAAAGAGTATTTTAAGAAGGAGAGAGTGGAGATCAATTGTAGAATGCTGCCTAAAAGTCAAGTAAGATGATGAGAAAGGTCTGTTATTGGATTTGGGAACACGGATCTTCAGAAGAAAGGCTTCGGTAGAAGATAGGGGGAAAGTGAGTTAAAAAGAATAGGATTGGTTAGAAAGTTTGGGGTATTTTTTTATTGCTATACTTCATAACATATATGTATGTATCAAATGTTATAAAAATGGTTTTAAAGTGAGAATGGGTGGTTAGGGAGTAAACTGGGAGTTAGGGTGAAACTGGGAACATAGACAATTATATTGAGGAGTAAATAAAACAGTCCTTTCTCTGAAAGAGTTTTTGTTAAGCATTGGGAGTTCAGATCACTTAAGCAGTGAAAGCAGGGAACCACAGAGAAGGGTTTCCTGTCCTGACCTGGACATCAAGAAAGGCCCCCTGGAGGAGGTGATGCCTAAAACAAGTCTTAAAAGATATGAGTACTTAACATATTTGATCTTCTGCCATCTTTATTTATTTAGTTTAATAGATTAAACATTGATTGAGCACATACTGTCCAGCAGGCACTGTGCAAAGATGGAGGGGCTTGTGGAGGAAAGTGACAAGCACACAGTGTGGTGGCTGCTATGTGAGGGAATGGGCCAAATGCTGTGAGAGCCAAGAATGAAGAACGTGACTAACTTGGCTTGGGGAATGTCAGAGAAAGCTTTACAAAGGCAGTGCAATTAAATTGGGCCTTAAAGGTTGAGAAGAGTGTTTACCAGGCAGATGAGAGGAGGAGCATTCCAGACAGGGAACAACATGTTCAGGTCAGAAGCCTGTTTGTGGATGGAAAGAAGTCCAAGTGCAGCTGGGGAGTAAAGTGTGTTGGAAAGGAGTGGTCAAGAATAAAATACAGATTCTGACATCTAGTTCTGGCAGATCTTGAATGTCTAGGAGTTTTATATCATTTTCACAGGCAGGGGGAGCCACCTGAAAGCTTTTAGGCAAAAGAGTGACGCGATCAGAGTTGACTTGGGAGCAGTGAGGAGGCTTGATTGGAGTAGGAGAGACTAGCAGCTGAGATACCGGTCTGGGGTGATGAGGTCGTCTTGAGCTGCACTGAGGATTGTGTCAGTAGGCTGTGGTGATAGATTGTGGAAGGTGAGCGAAAGGAGACTCACAGATGACTGAAGTCTGCAGGATTGGGGTTGGGTTTACTAATTGAGATGGAATGTAGCAGGGCGAGCAGGTTTGGGGAGGGAATTAAATTTTTTTTTTTTTAAAGATTGGCACCTGAGCTAACAACTGTTGCCAATCTTTTTTTTTTTTTTTTTCTACTTTATCTTCCCAAAGCCCCCCGTACATAGTTGTATATCTTAGTTGCAGGTCCTTCTAGTTGTGGGATGTGGGATGTGGGACACCGCCTCAACGTGGCCTGACGAGCGGTGCCATGTCCGTGCCCAGGATCTGAACCCTGGGCCGCCACAGCGGAGTGCGCAAACTTAACCACTCAGCCACGGAGCCGGCCCCGGGAATTAAATTTTTTGAAGTGTGTGAGATATCTAGGTGGAGGGGTCTGGTAGATGGCTGGGAACAAGGATTTGTGGCCTGGGAGGAGGTCTGGGATGAAATCCTAGGAGAGCTGTCAGCCTTTTGGGAGACAGGTAGAAGAAAAGGTTAATAAGGGGATACTGAGAAGGTGTAGTTTGAGAGGTCAGGGGAGAACTGGAAGAATATGGTATCAAGATACCTAGGGAGGGGTACCTTTCAAGTGTACGGGTCAGCACTGTTTGTTTCTAAGAGGTCAAGTGTTATCAGGACCAAAAGAGACTGTTGGGTGTGTTGCTTGAAAAGTCATTGGTGACTTTGGTGAGAACAGTTTCAGAGCTGTGTTTGGGGAGAATCCAGATACAGTCATGTGTCTGTCCCTTAACAATGGAGGTACGATCTGAGAAATGCATCGTTAGGTGATTGTGGTGTTGTGGGAACGTTGTAGAGTGTACTTAACACAAACCTGGATGGTACAGCCTCCTGCACACTGAGGCTGTGCAGTACTAATCTTATGGGACCACTGTCATAGATATGATCTGCTGTTGACTAAAACGTCGTTATGTGGCGTGTGACTGTAGTGGGGGGCTGAGGGGTGACTAAGGAGAAAGGAAATGAAAACAGTAATTATAGCCTATTATTTTTAGAAATTTGGTGGTAAAAAGAGAAAAGAGAGGGTGATTGGGAACTGTCTTCTTTTCTCTCCCTGTAATGCTTCATGCCTAGGTGACACTCAGTAAAATGCTTGAGTGATTAAGCACCAAGGATAGATACAATTATAGCAGATCTCTGGGTAATTTTCTTCTCAGTGCTAATTTTCCTCTGGTTCCTCTCACATCACAAAGAAAAGAAGAAGCCAGGAGGGACTTTTCTCTCTGTTTGCTATCATGTGCTTCAGAGGATTACTTTAACTTCTGTTGAAGTACTTATTAGATTATAGCCGTCCCTTCCGATGTAAGCAATCGTTACTGGGAAAACTGCTTGAATTGTTTTTTATAAGCAGCTCATTAACAAGCTATTTAAAATAGCAAGGACTGTGTTTAAATTGGTGAATTTTCTAATGTTGTGAACTTCTTTCTTAATTCAGCCCCCAGCAGGGAGAGCATCTATCAGCAATCCAGGAATGGGGGAAGCAGGAAACTTTGGTGGGAATAGCCTCATGCCAGCAAATGGCCTCACTGTGGCCCAAAACCAGGTAAATAAACACTGAGTGATTCCAGAAATGCAAAACACAGACAATCCTAAATTTGTTACTTCCTTAATGATTCTAAGGCTAAGTACCCAACTCATTTCTTTCTTATAAAGGGACTCAGATTACATAGGGAGCTGATTTAAAGTAGTTGCTCAGGGGCCGGCCCTGTGGCCAAATGGTTAAGTTCGTGCGCTGCGCTTCAGCGGCCCAGGGCTTCGCTGGTTTGGATCCTGGGCACGGACATGGCACCACTCATCAAGCCATGCTGAGGCGGCATCCCACATAGCACAACCAGAAGGACCTGCAACTAGAATATACAACTATGTACCAGGGGGCTTTGGGGAGAAGAAGGAAAAAAAAGAAGATTGGCAACAGATGTTAGCTCAGGTGCCAATCTTTAAGAAAAAAACAAAAGTAATTGCTAAAATCTTTTCGATTTAAATTTTTAGGTGCTGAATTTGATTAAGGCTTGCCCAAGGCCTGAAGGATTAAACTTTCAAGATCTCAAGAACCAGCTCCAACACATGGCTGTAGCCTCAATAAAGTGAGTATTCGGTTTCCATCAGCCAGGGCTCCAAAATTGTACCCATTTCACCTCACCAGAGTTTTCTGGTAGTGAGAAGTGAGTTAAAAAAAGAAAAGGAAACCATCTGTTAACTGCCATCTTATTGACAGAAGGGAAGTTGTTCAATCATGGAAAAACAGAAAAAGGACTCACAAAGATGGTGCTACCCACCACATCACTCACTCATTTCTTCATTCAGTAAATACTAAATCCCAGTATGTGCAGGGATATGATTTTGAGCAAAAATTGACTAGATAAATCTGACTTCTTATGGGTTTAGTCTGGAGGAGTAAGGGCCTTAGCTCCTGGTCCTCAGGTGTATAGTCCCATTGGCATTACTGTCCCTGCTGTGGAGCTGTGTGCTTCAGGCTATCTGGACCTGAAGCCATTAGTCAGTCCCTCCAACATCCATGTCCTGATTCCATGTTAGACAAGCGGCTTTGTGATTCCAGGAAACGGTGCCTTGTGGTGTTTGTGATAGTTATTTGTTAGTATGTATCAGTTCTAGGCCTACATAGAAAAAAAATGCTGAGGTCTAATTCCATTTCCGATTCTATAAAATGAGAGTATTATTCCTTTCTCAGAGTTGCAGTGATAATGAGGTACAGAATCACTGTCACATGGTAGATACTCTCTAAATTGTTACATTATTAAATATGCTACTGACACTGACCCTGAGGGCCTTGAAGTGTTTGAGGGTGTCATACCATTTCTGGAAAGAGCTTTCCATTACTTCCTACAACTTCCCCGAGGAGGAGTTAGAGGGTTGGTGAGTAGGGAAGGGGAACCTGTAACCGCTGTTTATCCTAGGAGATTTTATGTGCCAGCTGGACTACAGCTTGAGATTCTTATTTCAATTTGCTTAGACTGATATTTAAGGGAGGCCATAATGTCTTGCCTTTGCACAGTTCAGGAGAGGGATCCAAGGTGGTCCTGATAGCCATTCTCTCTCCTTGGATCACCTCAGTTTTGTAATTTTATTGGCATATCTCCTTACAAGAGCCCTCTGTGAGCAAAATGGCTGTGAATTCTTAGCTAAGATAGAAAGTGAGCAAGTGAGTGAAGTTTGCATATTTGGCCATATCCAAAAGGCAATTTCCTTTCTTCTGCATTGGTTTGAAAATGAGCCTTTTGGGCTGGCCCCATGGCTGAGTGGTTGGGTTCACATGCTCCACTTCAGCGGCCCAGGGTTTTGCTTGTTCAGATCCTGGGTGCAGACACGGCACCGCTCGTCGGGCCATGCGAGGTGGCGTCCCACGTAGCATTACCAGGGGCACTCAACTAGGATATACAACTATGCACTGGGGGGCTTTGGGGAGAAGAAGAAAAAAAGAAGATTGGCAATAGTTAACAGTTGTTAGCTCAGGTGCCAATCTTTAAAGAAAAAAATAATAATAGTGAAAATGAGCCCTTTTCTTTCCTTCTTTCTAGGCAAGCTGTGGATTTTCTTAGCAACGAGGGACACATCTATTCCACTGTGGATGATGATCATTTTAAATCCACAGATGCAGAATAACTGGATCTAATTGGGTACCTGAGATATTTTCCAGCTGGACCTATTTTCACAATCTCTTGTCTCCAGCTGAGCGTATGTTTGACCAATTGACTTCTAGGAAGTAGGTTTCATCTGTAAAAGGTCTCAGTTGACATCCTTTTGAAACTTACTGCTCTTTTTGTTGTTTTGAAGCTCAAAGGGAGATCACTTGACAGGGATGTAAACCAAGGTGGAATTTCTTAAAGAAGTTACAAATGAGCCATTTCTACAGCATCAGGATAGATGGAATTGGAAGAGGGATGCTACCAGGAGTCAGGCAGTGTTACTTAAACAACACTCGGAAATTCGATTCCTAAAATGTTTTCCATTGAGAGAAGATGAGCAGGACTAGGGCCTGTCAGCAGTGAGCTAGCCAAGAAACCTGCTAACCTCTGCCTGTTTTTGTTCCCCACTTTGGTTATGTGGTGTTACTTTCAGAATTGCACTTTCCTTCATCTTGTCATGACTGCTGCCGAAAGTGTGTTTTTATGAACATGAGGTTCTAGAGTGGTGGCCTCGGGGGCAGAGGAGAGGAAGAAGTGTTCTGTTTTGTACAGAATAAGTACATCCATATGTTTAATAAAATAGTTATATTATTGCAGAACTTGTGAAAATGTTTTTTTCTTTTTCTTTTTGAGGAAGATTAGCCCTGAGCTAACATCTGCCAATCCGCCTCTTTTTGCTGAGGAAGACTGGCCCTGAGCTAACATCCGTGCCCATCTTCCTCTACTTTATACGTGGGATGCCTACCACAGCATAGCTTGCCAAGCAGTGCCATGTCCGCATCCGGGATCCAAACCAGCGAACCCCTGGCCGCTGAAGTGGAATGTGCAAACTTAATTGCTGCGCCACCAGGCTGGCCCCAATTTTTCTTTTTAAGGTGGTATAATTACTTTATCATCTGAGGCAGTGCAGCATAGTTTGACTTGGATTTAAAATCCTGGCTTTTCCGCTTTTTAGTTTGGCTCTTGAGCAGGCTATGTTCGCTCTGAGAGCCTCCATTTCCTCATTTATGAAAAGAGAATGGGGGCCCGCCCTGTGGCGGAGTGGTTGGCTTCACACCCTCCACTTCAGCAGCCCAGGATTTTGCCGGTTCAGATCCTGGGAGCAGACGTGGCACCACTCATCAGGCCATGCTGAGGCAGTGTCCCACAGGCCACAACCAGAAGGACCTGCAACTAGAATATACAACTATGTACTGGGGGGGCTTTGGGGAGAAAGAAAAAAAAAAGAAGAAGATTGGCAACAGATGTTAGCTCAGGTGCAAATCTTTAAAAAAAAGAGAACAATGTTCTTTCCTTATAGTTTATTGTGAAAATCAAATAACATTTGTAAAGCATCTAGCATTGCCATTAATAGGGATTAGAAAGTAACCCTTAATTTTGAATAGCAGTGTATAATCATGGAACTGAATCGAATATCTACCATTTGACCTCAGATGAGTCTCTCTAAAGGCCTACAGCTATTTTTTGGCCAACTTAATCAGTTGCACTTCTCGTGGGAGAGGAAACTAGTTCAAAGATGTTTTTGACAACTCCAGAAGGTAGCCTACGTCTTAAATGAAAGAACTAATTCTGAGACAAGTTAATGAGGTGTAACATGCAAATAAAAATTCTATAACTGCTTTATCTGTTTCTAAATGAGATCTCCTGGCAGCTGTGTGGAAAAGGCCCCGCCCCTCTGGTTTCTAACAAAGAACAACAATCTGGCTGTTATTTTGTATATATAGAATCCTTCCCATCTGGGGAGCGGTGTTGATGCTTGAAAGTCAGTCAACCAGTATGTTGATTTGCAAGCACATCCATTCTCGATTAGTTCCTTCAGGACAGTGGCCACAAACAGGTTTAAAAATCACACATTTGAATTTAGAATGCACAAGATACTTTTATGAGTGGTTGACATCTCTTTCTAGTTATCACACCAGTGCCCTCAGATGGGCACAGCAATAGCAGTGGTTCTGGGGGGAAGTCTTTTTTCTTTTGATTTTGAATTTGATGATTTAGCAATTAAAAACTATTTACTCATTAATTCAACAAGTATTTATGGAATACCTACTTTGTCAGCCCACTGGTCTGGGAATATAAAGTAAATATAGGAATAAACTGAAACTAGGACTATAAAGTAAAATAAGAGGTTGTTGTCACAGGATTTGCTGGTTCAGCATTCCCAGGAGCACAGAGCAGCTGCTCGGCGGTGCTGAGTTCCCCGCCGTCTCAGCATTGACACAGTCTCGCAGGAGTTGTGTGGTTTCTGAGCACTGCAGAGGCCTGTGGGGCCAAGCGCAGGCAGGCTGCTCCTCAACAGAAGGAACTCCGGCCTTTGCAGGGCTTCTCCCTGCTCTAGCAGGAGGCCCTTGCGTTTCAGGTGTTTGCGGTCACCTGGGATGTCAGGTATTCAGTGTTCTCTTGACAGTTCGTTAAGATAGCAGGAACAGCAGTGTGACCTAAGTTCTTAGAAACCCCCCCATTGTCCCAGCCACGCAGTGAGTCCGGCCTGCTCTTGGGAGAATCTTTCTCTGGGTATACTGGTGGGAAACGAGGATCCTTAGGGAATAGTACTACTTTATTGGGTTTAACTAGAGAAAGGCCAGTAAGAGTTAGTGTCTGATGTAGATTGATAGATTTGTTTTTAAAAATGCAGTTGAGGGAAATTCAAAACTCGAGAAATTTTTGAGCATGCATCCCCAGTTTATATTCATTTATTTAGCAGTTATTTACGTCTGTTACAGTGTTAGTATGTTATATACATTATAAAACATTAAAAAAGAAATGGGGGGGGGCTGGCCCCATGGCCAAGTGGTTAAGTTCGCACGTTCCGCTGCAGGCGGCCCAGTGTTTCGTTGGTTCAAATCCTGGGCGCGGACATGGCACTACTCACCAAACCACGCTGAGGCAGCGTCCCACATACCACAACTAGAAGGACCCACAACGAAGAATATACAACTATGTACCGGGGGGCTTTGGGGATAAAAAGGAAAAAATAAAATCTTTAAAAAAAAAAGAAATGAGGGGGTCGGCCGGGTGGTGTAGTGGTTAAGTTCACATGCTCTGCTTCCTTGGCCCATGGTTCACGGGTTCAGATCCTGGGCACGGACCTACACGCAGCTCACCAAGCCACACTGTGGTGGCATCCCATGTACAAAATAGAGGAAGACTGGCACAGATGTTAGCTCAGGGCCAATCTCCCTCACCAAAACAAAAAAGGATATTAAAAATAAATACGAAGGGATACACTAATAATTCTTTTCTGTTTCCCAGTGGATCATCTTGTGTACCCCCAGGAGTGTGTGCTCACTTTGGAGACCACTGCTCAGGAGGAATCCCTAGCCCCATTATAACACCCTCCATCTCCCAGTGGCTTATTCCAGAGGTATAGACAAAAGCACCCTGAGAGCAATGTCCCCCTTTGGTGCGTTCCCTGCCAACCCCCACTGCTCTGATAAAACATTCACAGTTGTGGTTTTTAAATGTGTTTTCCTTTTAAGCCCAGTTTTTCATGCTGTGAAATTACTTTCTTTCTCCTTATTGCAGCATTTGGCCACTCTGAAATCCCCTTTTGTAGGAAGTGGTAGCCCTCTCCTCTGCCCCACTTTTGTGATCTTGCTTAATTTGGTGCCAAGGTTAAGTGCAAACGTGGAAGTGAAAACTATTGGCATTTTGCCTGTGGGCCTGGCCCCTAGGGGTTCTGTGCCAAGGAGGAACTTTCTCTCTATCTTGCTTATTGCTTGTTCCAGACAGAGTACTCTCTTGCTCAGGGTCTTCCTACGCAGCATAGATTGTCTCTGTGGAGGAAGGCCTGGGAACTGGTGGGAAGATGAGCGTGGGGTGCTAGATATGAGGGACTGGCCCCACAGCCTGTAGTAGCCACTCAGCAGTCACCTGGAGACTCCATGCTGGGGTGTGGAAGCCAGGAAGCCTGGGAAGTGCAGTGGGTCCAGACAGCCAGAGGGATGTTAGCAGGCAAAGGAAGGACACACTCAGGTGCAGTGCCTAGAATCCAGGAGCTGGAAATTTGGCCCTCTGGCTCCCTCCTCAGCTGGAGACTCAGATCATCTTTTTGTCTATCTCCTGTCCTCTGCTGACCGTGGGGCTCAGTTCTGTGACTGCATCAACCTGGGAACGTACCACACCACTTGCTGGAAATGAGGCCTGTGGTCTTACCTCACTGAACAGGCCTAGACTGACCTTGGAAGCTGAGTTAGTCTCTGCATAGGCACAGGCTTCTGTTTGTTCTCTGTATCTCCGTTACACTGGATGGTGAGGCTCTCCAACCGGTCAGCACCCTGTCTCCACAGTCTAGGAACATCGTACATTTCAAACACTGGGTGAATTCCATGACTAGGAGACAGTGGGCGTGTGGAAAGATAATAGGTTTTGGAGAGAGGCACAGCTGTGTGATCTTGGTCAACAATAATGACACATTTTGCTTGAGTGTTCATTCTGTGCCAGGCGTCAAGCTAAATCCTTTACAGAGAGTCTCATTTGATCCTTAGGACAATCTTGTGAGGTAGATGACTATTAGTTTTATTTTACATGTGAAGAAACTGAAGCTTAGGATAGAATAACTTGCTCTCAGGCACAGCTGATGGGTGGTGAGCCCAACCCAGGCTCATGACTAGTCTGCCTCCTGGAGCACTTGCCACTCATGCTTGTTTTCTGATCTTCAAAATCAGGCCATTCTCTACCTCAGAGAGTTGAGGATTTAGATAGGGTGTGTCAAGGGTCTGGCCCACAGAGAGAACTTAGTAAGTGATAGCTGTTAATCACTTTTTCCAGACGTTCCAGGTGTCATTTTTATTCGGTGGTTTTCGAGTGAAATAACCTTGGGTAGTTGCCGGCGGCTGTCATGTGCCGGGTGCTGCAGAGATGAGGAAGACAGTTCTAGTCTCTTGGGCGTGGAGCCTTGGTGCGGGAGGGGGCGGAAGAATGGCCAGCCTCAGTGGCAGGAACGTAGAACCTGAGGGAAGCTGGTGCCGTGTGCCTCCCATTTCAGGCCCCACAAAGCCATTCCCTGTCCGCAGTTTGATTTCTGGGAGGCCTTGTCACAGGTCCTGCAGAGGCATGTGACGCCTGGCTGGGGTCTCGGCTCCCCCTGAGGAGCAGCGGTCAGGAGGCATGCTTCCCGCAGCACCTAGAGGGTCTTCTGAAAGTGGTCAGACACTTCTTCGTAATCGTGGTCATAGTCACCTGCAAGGGTCCGAGTCAGTGAGCATCTCTGGCCTCAGGCGGGTCCTTCCCTTCTTTAGGGGACACTGGCCAGGGACGGGGTTGGTCTAGGTGCTCTAAGGTCCTTGCCAGCCCAGAAACCAGTTTGTTCTGTCTGAACACTTTGCAAATGTTCCCCCTGTATGCCCTGGGAGAGCAGTGTTGGGGGAGGAGTGCATTTTCCTTGCCAGGGCTCTGGAGCCCCTGGGAGAGGGACAGTGGAGGCCTTCAGCCTAAGCCCACCCCACATAGGCCTGTTCGTCCCACTGGGCAGGGCCCTGCTGAGAGTATGGCCAGCACCATCAGAGATGAAAGCAGCAAAGGAGTGGCGGGGAGGGGAGAAGCGAGGACAAGGGTGAGCAGGGGCTGACAGGGACTCACCTCGATCTTTTGTGTCGGGCTTAGTGAGCCTCAGGCCCTTCTTGTGGGCTGGAATCTTGCTGTACATATTTGAGCTGCCCTTGGAAACCTCTGGTAAGGTCTTCGTCTTGGCTTTGGGCAGCAGAGGGGGTTGCTGCAGCTCTAAGACTTGTGATGACTAAGTGGGAGAAAAAGCAGAAGTCAGCAGGGTCCCAAGAAGTGGGGCGGCAGAGTCCATGAAATGTCATTTCCTTCGAATGTTACTTCCCCTGCTCCCCTCTCTACTTCCTTTTCAGGGTGGGGCTTCTCCGGAGCCCAGAGTTTTTGCTGCAAGCATGTGAAACGTCCTTTGGCAGGGAAGAAAGGGGTGAGAGATGATAGGGTTGGGGGCTAGAGACAGGGCGTCCCTGAGTTTCTCCTCATAGGGGTTTGGTCAATGTCCTTCAGATCTGTTGCTGAGGGGGGAAAAAGCAGTCACAAGCCTCAGGGCAGAGTGCCAGAGCTGAGAGGGGGCCCAGAAGGAAGAGGACGTTTATTGGACCCCTCCCTCGTGCCAGATGCTGTATGCATATCTGCTCATTTAATCCACAGGTGACCCTCTGAGTAGCTGGGTCAGTTCCCAATTTACACATAAGGAAACAGGCTGAGAGGGCCATGTCCAACCTCAGCACAGAGGGTCCCTAGCCGGCCCAGAACCACCTGGACCCAGAACCATATCTGTGACCTCTAAAGCGGCTGCTCCTTCCACCACACCCACTTTAGAGAGCAAACAGGAAAGCTCCCCTGATCAGCAGCCGAGAATATGATGCCCAGAGAGCAAAAGGTGCTGGTTGAGGGCAGCAAGCAGGAACTGGGCCCAAAGTCACTTCCATCAGGAGCCAGGGCTGGGACTGACGTCTCCCCTCAGTTCTCTGTACCATATTCTTTCCACCACTGTTGCAAGGCCTGCGTTCCAATGACCCAGTCCATTCTTTGTCCCATCAGAAAACAACTACCCAAACCCTACCCTGCTTCTGGGGCTGAGAACACTCAAGAGTCATCTTTAACTTCCACTGCCATCCCTCTACCTGCCCACACAGGACGAAATATGAATCTCCCCAAATCCCAGAACGATATGCTTGTTACAGCTTACAAAGTGGCTTTTATGTAAGTCACCCCCTCCTGTTCTCAGGGGAGCCAAGCTGAGGTGCTGAGGCCGAGTGGTTAGACCTGATTTCAAACTGCAGCCCGCCACTTGCTAGTTGTGTGATTTCAGGGAAACTACTTGACCTCTCTGCGCCTCTTGTTTTCTCAACTGTAAAAAGAGATGCTATCAGTGCCCACCTCAGAGGGACAACGTGCCGGCCACAGAGTAAGCACCCAACAGATAGCAGCTAATGAGACAGCACTGTGAGCGGGGATGTTATCTCAGGTCCACTGGGAGAAAACAGATGCACAGAGAAGTCTAGGAGACGTACACCGAGTCTTTCTGTCTCCACGCCTGGTTCTTTCCCCCTTTTTGTGATTCACTGTGGTTCAGTTCAGCACTCACTGGAACCTTCTCTGCCCACCTTGGGGCAGGTGAGGCCTCTGCTCCACAGAACTCCCATTCTAGCCAGAGAATCAAGTACAACTAACCGAAAACCTCACCCCCGCCCCCCAAGCTCTGTACAACACGCGGTGTGAACACAGAAGAGGAAGGACTGTCGCCGCCCGGGAGGAGAGCTGCGCTGAGCCTTGCCTGGGAGCCTGAAAGGAGGAGCAACACTCCTGGCAAAAGGCCCGGCCCATGGAAAGTGCTGGCAGGAATCCTGGCACACTGAGGGAGCCTCGGGATTTCTCTGTGGCTAGAGCGTGGCCTGCAGAGTGGGTAGTGAGAGATGGGCCTTGGACAGCAAGTCTGAAGTCAGCTTATAAAGGACCCTGGATGCCATATTAAAGGGTCTGCATTACCCGCTGGCAATGGGGAGCCACTGAAGGTTTCAGAAGATGGGGCCAAGGCCCATCGGTGACCAGGGAAGGATTTGGGAGGCCATTCTGACAGCTGTGGGGAGGGGTCAAAGAGGCTGCTGAAATGGTTTAAGCGAAAAATGATGGAGCTTGAACTAGGGAGTGACAGCAGGGGTAGCAAAGAGAGACCAGTGAACTTGGAGTCAGGATGCTTATGCTCCAGTTCAGGCTTCCCATGGATTAACTGTGTGACTTAGGGTGAGGCTCAGGGTCTCTTGAGTCCTCATTTTCTCAACCATAAAATATGGATAATCACACTAACGTCAGGATTGTCAGGATCGAACAAGAATAATAGGTGCAAAGTGTGTATGTTTATAAACTGCAAGTTCTATACAATTGTAAGAGAAACGTGATGCTGGGCAGACAAAGAAGAAATGGCAGGACCTGCAATGACCCCGACAGGGGTCCCCTCTGGCCCCTTCAGTTACATTGGTACCTTAACGCCTCTCTCCTTGCCGCTCTGCTTCTTCTGCCCGCTGAGGCCCTGACCTTTCGGGGGCCGGGGCGGGGGGGTTTGGCTCTCGAAGGCCGGTAACTTCCGAAGGCGATAGTAGAAGGCATCCGTCACCTCCTCCACTGTGGCTACAGGGAGAGACCCAGCTGGCTGGTCTGGCTGCCCCTCGGCCTCCACAACTGTCAGGTCCAGCCACCGGGGAGGGATCTCGAAGCACATCCCAGGTTTGGAGTCCAGGCTGACCACCAAGAAGGGTTCCGTGATCTTCTCCTCCAGCCGCAGGCCCGGGAAGGAGGGCAGAGGGTCAGCAGGGTGGCTGGCATCCTTGGCCACCACCTTGACTTCACAGGGCAGTGAGAACTGGGCAGTCAGGTCTTCCAGGCTGTAGCGCCGGCCATCGCTCATCTCCTCCACGAAGCCACCGGAGACGTAGAGGGGCAGCAGAATCTGCTCTTGGTCCTCCGCCTCCTCTTCAAACTCTTCTTCCTCCTCCTCCCTGGTCTCGTCACTCAGCCGCTGACACACCAAGACATCTATATCCCTGCCTTGAACCCCATGGGCCTGGCCAGACCGCAACACCTCCAGCCTGTCACCCACAGCCAGGGAAGTGAACCCCGAGTTCTCCACCCCCTCGCCCTCATAGTCCTTCGTGGCCACCACCCTGAGTGGCCGGCCTGGCTGGAGAGCACCCAGGAGGTCATAGGCCGTGGGGAACTCTCTTGGCCGCCGTCGCAGCTTGCCCTGGTAGGCCCCAGAGACCATGAAGTGCCTGGGCACCTTCCGGCCCTTGGTTGAGACCAGGACCCTCCAAAGTGGCGAGGCCAGGCCATAGATGCAGAGCCTCTGGCCTTTCTGGAAGGAGCCCATCCATGGACTGGGGAAGATGGGGGGCCCCTCCGGAACTTCCAGAATCTCTGTGAGCAGGGGGAACGGGCCTTCTCGGGCCAGGACCTCACTCAGCAGCAGCGGTTGGATGAAGTGGATGTGTTGAGAGGAGGCGGTGACATCCTCCACGTCGACCTCCAAGGTGGAGGGGATCTTGACAATGGTCCGACGCACTGTGGAAGGAGAGGTCAGCTCAGGGGCGCACTACACATTGGCCCAGGGGTGCACCCTCCGCCCCAGCAGAGAGGTCTGGGCTGGCTGGCCTCTTTCTGTTCTCATCTTTTCTTTCCAACCGGCTTTCTCCTCTTGTACCAGATTCCTTGCCCACTCTTTTCCTTCAACCTCTTTTTTAAAAAGTTATTACAGAAATTTTTCAACATTTATAAAAGTAGGGAGACCAGTATAGTGAACCCCCACATACCTATCACCTAGCTGCAATGTCTAACCCATGGCCCATCTTCTTCATTTATACTCCCATCTCTCTAGTCCCCCTCCACTGGATTATTCGGATTCAGAGTAATCATGCCAGCTGTGACATTTCAGTGTGTATCTCTAACAGGAGGACTAAGTAGAATGAGCAAAAGCATAACCACAATGCCATTACTACAACTAAATAATAATATGATAATTTCTTAATATCATCAAATAGCCAATCAGTTCAACCACTTTTTTATTTTAATTGAATTTTGAATGTAATTTTATAAACTGCCTTTCCAAATCCTTTTTGGATTTAAGTAAAGAGAGAAAAACAAATTAAGAAAAACACTGACTGGGGGCCAGCCCCGTGGCCAAGTGGTTAAGTGCGCACGCTCCGCTTCAGTGGCCCAGGGTTTCACAGGTTCAGATCCTGGGCACGGACATGGCACCGCTCGTCAGGCCATGCTGAGGCGGCATCCCACATGCCACAACTAGGACTTACAACTAAAAATACACAACTATGTACCGGGGGGATTTGGGGAGAAAACACAAAAAAAATATATACTATTTTTTTCCTCAAAATACTTAGGGATTAACTGAGCTGCCTCATTATCCAGCGCAGCCAAGCCCCACCCACCATTAAAACCCCTGGCCCCCAGACTGTGGTCTCTTACTACCATTTCCCAAGAGAGGCCAGGATTCCCTGGTCGAGAGCCTACGTCTGTTCCTGGGGAGGAAAGGTTCAAGATGGGCCTGGAACATCTTATACCAGAAAGCAAGAAAATCTAGTCAAGACCACGTGGGTTATGTAGGAAGGATTCAGGAACCAACCTGAAAAGTCCCCCACTAGGCAAAGATGAGATAATTTGAGCATCGATAAGAATAATAACTTCAGTGGACAGGGACATTGAAAACATTTCATCTGTGAGTTCATGAAAAAAAACCCGGCGTGGTGGTGCAGCAGTTAAGTGTGCATGTTCCGCTTTGGCGGCCCGGGGTTGGCTGGTTCGGATCCCGGGTGCGGACATGGCACCCCTTGGCAAGCCATGCTGTGGCAGGCGTCCCACATATAAAGTAGAGGAAGATGGGCACGGATGTTAGCTCAGGGCCCGTCTTCCTCAGCAAAAAGAGGAGGATTGGCAGCAGATGTTAGCTCAGGGCTAATCTTCCTGAAAAAAAAATAAAAAGAGAAGAAAAAGAAAAAAAACCCAAATAATCACCCATGAAGGATGCTAGGGAGCCAACTCATTACTTTAAAAACTAGTAAACAAAGTTAGGTTGTTTCTTAGGACATTCCTCAGTGCAGGCCGGTGGCAGCATCCAGAGCAGGCGTGGGAGATGAAACAGAGGCAGAACCTGGCCAGGTCTGGCCGGTGGGCAGCTGAGCCTGATTGGGGGTAGGAGAATGGTGCCCCGGGGACCTCTGCATATACCAACACAGTGTCCTGAATTTCCTGTACAAACTGTAACCAACGAGTAGATGAGGGGAAGTTTCTCTTCATGTAGTTTCCCGGGTAATAAATGAAGAAGGAATGACAGGATCCAAGTATCACCATTGCAATTCCCAATGAAATCAGCAACAGCCGCTCGCCTCACAAACACTGGCCCATCCGTTGTGGTATTTGATCCACACCACATGGCAAGGGGGCAGACACAGAGCCAGCTGGGGAGTCCTTGGCCCACACCTCATGCAGCGATGAGAACTGGGTGCCTCTTGGGTCTCGTCAAGCCTCTCAGTGCCCATTTACAGGTGTGCAGAGAAGCGCTAGTGTAGGCGGCCTGAGACCGCCACCCCTAGGAAGGCCTGCCGGCAAGGTGGTCCTTGACTGGCCTCTGGGAACGTGGATTTCGGAGGGTCCCCACCATGCTTGCTGGTAAGAGTGACTGACTGTGCCTGAACTGAACAGCCAATGTGACTTATGCTGAAAGCCTGCTTTCCCTCCAGGAGTCTGGAATTTTGGTACGTCCTAGAGAGAGGGTGCCCACATGACCAGCGCCCAGTAAAAACTTTGCACACTGAGTCACCACTAATGAGCTTCCCTCACACGTGTTGTCACAATCCAGTGCTGCAGGAATTCAGCATGTCCCGGGGGAGGACTCTTGGGCACTGTACCGGGTTTCCTGCGGCCTTCGCCCCATGAGCCTTTCCCTTTGCTGACTGTGTTTTGTGTCCTTTCAATGTAATAAATCACAGCTGGGAGTACTACTATATGTCGAGGCCTGGGACTCCCCTTAGTGAATCATCGAACCTGGGGGTGGTCTCGGGGCTGACACAACAGGAGACACAGGGGACGGAGGAGCAGGTTAACACCACCACAAGGATGCTGGCAACAAAATCCAAAATGTGAGAAAGCCTACAGAACAAGTGGTCTAGTCCCTTCTACAGATAAATTACAAGAAAAATGGAGAGGCCATCCCCACAGCCAAGTGATTAGGTTCACGAGTGCTCCATTTCAGTGGCCTGGGGTTTGCCAGTTTGGATCAAGGATGTGGACCTATGAACCTGCACACTCCTTGTCAAGCCATGCTGTGGCAGCATCCCACTTAGAGGAACTAGAATGACCTCCAATTAGGATATACAGCCATGTACTGGGCCTTTAGGGAGAAAAAAAGGAAGATTGGCAATAGATGTTAGCTCAGGGCCAATCATCCTCATCAAAAAAAAAAAGAAAAATAGAGAAGAAAGGGGAACCTATAGATTAAAAGGGACTTAAGAGCAATGTTGTGGACCTTATCTGGATCTTGCTGTGAATAAACTGTAAAAAAATGTATGAGGGGGCTGGCCCCGTGGCCAAGTGATTAAGTTCGTGCACTATGCTTCGGCAGCCCAGGGTTTTACCAGTTCAGATCCTGGGCACGGACATGGCACCGCTCCTCGTCAGGCCATGCGGAGGCGGCGTCCCACATAGCACAACCAGAGGTGCTCACAACCAGAATCTACACCTATGTACTGGGGGGCTTTGGGGAGAAGAAAAAAGAAAAGAAAAGAAGATTGGCAACAGTTGTTAGCTCAGGTGCCAATCTTTAAAAGAAAAAACAAGAACAAAAACTGCTGACTGAATGATTACGTTCATTCAACCAGTAAGGAAATAAGCTTTCTAAAAAAAAATTTATGAGACAAGAGAGGAAGTTCACCAAGTGGCAGTATCAGGAGTGAGTAACTTTTTTGGTGAGATAATGGTATTGTATGTCTGTTAAAAAAAGAATCATCTTTAAAAGAGACACATATTGAAGTATTTACAAAAGAAATGATACCTGGGGTTTGCTTTGAAATAGATGGGGTAGGGTGGGGAGAGATGAAACAGGCCAGGTTGTGAGTTGATAATTGTGTGTTAGATAATGGGGTCATGGGGATACCTTATATTACTCCCTGCTTTTGGATATGTTTGAACTTTTCCATAATAAAGTCATTTTAAAAGAGTTGTGTGTGGGCTGGCCCGGTGGCCGAGAGGTTAAGTTTGCGCACTCCGCTGCAGGTGGCCCAGTGTTTCGTTGGTTCGAATCCTGGGCGTGGACATGGCGCTGCTCATCAAACCACGCTGAGGCAGCGTCCCACATGCCACAACTAGAAGGACCCATGACGAAGAATATACAACTATGTACTGGGGGGCTTTGGGGAGAAAAAGGAGAAAAATAAAATCCTAAAAAAAAATAAAAATAAATAAATAAAAAGAGTTGTGTGTGTGTATGAGGAAGACTGTTGTTGGGCTAACATCTGTTGCCAATCTTCCTCTTTTGGCTTGACGAAAATTGTCACTGGGCTAACATCTGTGCCAATCTTCCTCTATTTTATGTGGGACGCCCCCACAGCGTGGCTTGACGAGCAGTGCTAGGTCCACACCCAGGATCTGAAAATGTGAACCCCGGGCCACCAAAGTGGAGCACAGGAACTTAACCACTACATACTGGGGCTGGCCCCTAAAAGCTTTTTTTTTTAAGATTTTATTTTTCCTTTCTCTCCCCAAAGCCCCCTGGTACATAGTTGTATATTTTCAGTTATGGGTCCTTCTAGTTGTGGCATGTGGGACGCCACCTCAGCACAGTTTGATGAGTGGCACCATGTCCACACCCAGGATCCTAACCGGCAAAACCCTGGGCCTCTGAAGCCAAGCGCACAAACTTAACCACTGGGCCGCGGGGCCGGCCCCTAAAAGATTTTTTTTTAAGGCAAAGGATCCCTACCTGGCTCTGTCGTCTGCAGCAAGCCTGACCAGCTGCTCTCTGGGTAACTGCCAGGGTCGAACCTCAAACTCTCTGTCCGCCGGGGAACTGGTCCCCCAGGCATTGTTCTCCCTATGCTCCGGCTTAGCCTCCAACCGGCCAAACGTGGCCAGGTTCTGCCTCTGTTTCATCAACCCTGCTCTGCACGCTGCCACCAGCCTGCCCTGAGGACTGTCCTAAGAAATAACCTATGCAACAGCTGGGGGATTCACTCAGACAGTGCCCTCTCACCCAGAGAAAAGGACCTTCAGGAACAATTCTGCTCTCCCCAGAGGCAGGAAAATATGCTTCTCCTGAGCAAATGGTCATGGTTTCATTTTGTCACACTGTGTTTCTTCGTCCTAGCTGCTAGCAAGTTCGCAATCCAACTCTTGCCCAGTTTAATAAAGTATGTGGTCCCTCAGTCTGAAGTTATCCCATTTCCCTGTCTCCCTACACCTCACTTCCCATGGTTTGGGAATCTTTATTCTGTTGCTTTGTATATACTGGGTAAACCACCTGGAATCTCCAGATTGTCACTGGGATTGGGCGGCAGAAGGGGGTGTCTTTCGTCAGAGTGGCCCCCCACCCACCTGCCCGGGCAACTCACTGTGCATGATGGCTTGGAGCTCGTACTTGGGCCTCAGGATCAAGGAGCGCCAGGGGAGGGTGGGGCAGGTGAAGAGGAGGTGCCTCAGGGCCGGGTCCTGCAGGACCTGGAGCAGGGTCCGAGGGGTACCAGGCTTCCATTCCCAAAAGGGCCCCTTCTGGGACAGGGGCAGGTGCAGAACGACCTGATGGGCCCCTGTGTCCAGCACACAGCGGGCACACCGAGTCCGGAAGTGCATTTCCACAGCCTCAAGCATGAGGGGCTGGTCCTCAGGCACCACCCTGGTCTCTGTGGTGATTCTGTGGGTGGACAGGAAGCAAATGGGCAGCTTCTTGGAGCACTGGGTTGCAGCAGAGACCAGCTCCTCCAGGGTTCCATAGCTCTGGGGGCCGGTGAGGGGATGGAAGTGGCCTGTGGGGCAAAACGGAGGCTGTCAGGGTGGGGCAGACCTTTGCTGGGTCCAGAGCCACAAATACAAGACTCCCGTCTGGTCACAGAGAACCCAGCCAGAATCCCCCAGGACAGATGCCAAGGGACATCTGGGCTGCAGGGCCGAGGGACAAGAGGCAGCGAGTGACCATGTGTGAATGGACAGTGAGGGGCAGAGGTGGGGACAATAGCTTCTGACACAGACAGGCACAGACACAGAGGGATTGTCACCAGAGACAGACAACAGAACAGGGATGCGTTCCCCAACAGAGACTGACGACTGCCACATCTGCCTACCTCCTGACCCCTCCCTGCCTCTGACTTTGCCAACTGTGCCTCCAGATTCCTCACTTCCAACACCAATCACCCCATCCTGGGGCTGTGCCATTGTCCCTCTCTCCCAAACTAGAAAGCCAGGACCTCTGACCACCCCGACCCCTATGGCGTGCCTGCCAATTCCGGCTGCGCTCTCCCCACCACCCCACCCACTCTTCTCCTGGCACTGGCCTGGCCTCAAACACCCCAGACAACATCGCTTCTCAAAATACTCAACACGAATCTAATGAAGGAAATATCGCATAAACCCAGATTGAAGGACAGTCTACAAAAACACTGGTCTGCACTCTTCAAAAACATCAATGCCCAGACAGAAAGGCTGAGGAGCTGGTCCAGCCTGAAGGAGACTAAAGGAGGACAGAGCCCTGCAGGTAATGAGGGATCTGGGGTCGGATTCTGGGTCAAGGGCAAAGCCGGGGGTGAAGGACGGTATCAGGGCAGTTGGTGAAAACTGATACAGACCATGGTTAGACGGCAGCATTGTATCATTATTTTAAATTCCCCAAATTTGATCATTGAACTATAGTTTTGTGAGTGAATGTCCTTGTTTTCAGGAGACATACTAAATATTAGGAGTAATATTTAAATGTAAAGGGGCATCATGTCTGCAATTTACTCTCAAAGTATATACATAGGGGCTGGCCTGGTGGCGCAGCGGTTAAGTGCACATGTTCTGCTTCTTGGCGGCCCGGGGTTGGCCGGTTCGGATCCCGGGTGCGGACATGGCACCCCTTGGCAAGCCATGCTGTGGCAGGCATCCCACATATAAAGTAGAGGAAGATGGGCACAGATGTTAGCTGAGGGCCAGGCTTCCTCAGCAAAAAAAGAGGAGGATTGGCAGTAGTTAGCTCAGGGCTAATCTTCCTCAAAAAAACAAATTTTTTTTTTAATATATATATATATATGCAGGGGGCTGGCCCCATGGCCGAGTGGTTAAGTTCGCACGCTCCGCTGCGGTGGCCCAGGGTTTCGCCGGTTCGGATCCTGGGTGCAGACATGGCAATGCTCATCCAGCCACGTTGAGGTGGCGTCCCACATGCCACAACTAGAGGGACCTGCAACTAAGATATACAACTACATACAGGGGGGTTTGGGGAGATAAAGCAGAAAAAAAAAAAAAAGAAGAAGATTGGCAACAGTTGTTAGCTCAGGTGCCAGTCTTTAAAAAAAAAAAAAAGAATATATATAGATACCTATACATATATAGTAATATATGTCCGTGTGCGTGTGTGTGGAGAGAAAGCGAGTGTAACAGAATGTTTAACAATTGCTGGCTCTGGATAAAGGCTGCGCAGTAGTTCCAGCAAGTCTTCTGTAAATTTGAAATTATTTCAAAAGAAAAAGAAAACCTTCAAAATACAGAATAAAATACCTCCCTTTCATCTTTAAAACCCTCACTGGCTCCTCAAAGCCTTTAAAATAAAGACTGAGATGTGTCTGCTCCCCCTCTTGCCCCCTGGCAGTCTGGCTCCCGCTCGCCTCCCCACCGCTCGCCCTCGCCTGTCCCGGGCGGGAGATCACAGCAAATCATGCTAAGAACGGGCCCTCAGAGGGCGCCTGCGCCGTGCCAGGCCCGGTTCTAAGCGCTTCGTGCATGGCGACTCATTTAATCCTCACATCGAGCCAGATTTCCCCCTTACAGAGCAGAACGCTGAGGCACAGAGGTCACGGGACCTGGTCAAGCCACCGCCAGTAGCCGGCTGAGCTGGAGTTCCCATCCAGGCTCTTGGCTTCAACGTCCGGGCACCACGGGCACCCAGACAGTCCACCACGCTACACCCCTCCTGCAATAACTGAGCTACCTGGGGTTTCTGGAACACCAAATGTGCACAGGCTACTCTCTCCAGCTGGATCCTTCCTCCAGCTCTGGTGGCACCTCCTCCAGGAAGCCTGCACAGAGCCCTGAGTCAAGCTACTCCTACCCGGAGCCCTCTCTAAACTTGTGCCTATTCTACAGTTGCCCTCCTCTCACTGCCATCCTGGAAGCTCGCCGTTGGAGAGTGCTGCACCTGGGTCATCCTGAGGCCCAGGCTCCAGCCCGCAGCACAGGACCTGGCACATAGGGGGGTCAGTAAATGTTTGGCGAGTGAATGTGTGAGCGACCATGGAGACTGGCACATGAAAAAAACCCGAAACAAACAAAGTCTTAGCAGAGAGGCAGGTGATCAGAGAGACAGACAGGAAGAGGGCACAGCCTCGAGGCTCAGGGCATTGTCAGACCACTGAGGACATCCAGGCCTGGAGACTGCATAGTGGTGGACGTGAGAGCTGCATGTGCAAACCTAGAGGGGTGGGAGTGCGTGCTGGGGTACGCAAGCCCATAAGTGTGTCCGCAGGTGTGCCTAGAGGATGCCAGGGCACTCAGCCACCTTACCATGGAAGTTGGGGGCCAGCTCCATGGTCTGGCCTGTCCCCGGGTTCTCGCAGACCGCCGTCTGGAGGCGAATGTGGGTGACCTTCATCAGGTCCCCCGTGGAGAGGCAGCACTCATTCCCAGAGATCTCGTAGATGGAACCTGCAAAGATACAGACTCAGTTTCCCCATTCAGCAAGGGTCAAGCACTGGGTGGCCTGTGCCCTGATCCCCAACAAGCCCTGCTCTGCCACACCTTTGCGCGTGGTGTTCCCACTGCCTGGTATGCCCTTCCCGGTCTTTCTCTTGCCTTTGCCTTCTTTTAGCGCTGGACGAAGCCCTCTGTGGTCCATTCCCTGGCCTCCTTCACATCCCCGTGCCTCCTAACCTGAGCTTGCAGCCTCAGCGCCGCCAGCACAGCCACGGCCCCTAAGCGTGTGTTAAAGTCACAAATAAGTAAAAAACCCAACAGATCCCAACTCTCTTATTGCACAGCTACAAAATCAGGCCCAGAGAGGTTCTTCAGATGAACTATTTTCAAAGGAAGCACAGGAGAGAACAGAGGGCCACTGACTGGGGGGCCCAGGCGGCAGGGTTCTGGGCCCCCACCTTCAAGGACAGCGGCCCCACTTTCCATGTTTAAAGTGCTTAAAGCAGGGGGCCAGCCCCGTGGCTGAGTGGTTAAGCTCATGCGCTCTGCTTCGGCAGCCCAGGGTTTCGCCGCTTTGGATCCTGGGCACAGACATGGCATCGCTCATCAGGCCATGCTGAGGCGGCATCCCACATAGCACAACCACAAGGACCCACAACTAGAAATACACAACTATGTACTGGGGGGCTTTGGGGAGAAAAAGGAAAATAAAATCTTTTAAATAAATAAATAAATAAAGTGCTTAAGGCAGCGTCCAGAATGGAGGAGGTGCTTGATGAAGATGGCTCTCACACAGAGGGCACAGGCGCTCCATCCTGCTGACGAGGGACGGGAAGGTGCAGGTGGGCCAGCAGTGAGGCCACCTGACCCCACCCCACCCCCAGGGCAGCCCCAGCAGGGTCCTTCGCAACAGCCTTGAGAAACTGGTGAAAACCTCACCTCTTATCCCCAGGAAAATGTGCACAGGCTCGTAACACACACAGCTGTGTCTACAGTTTCAGGGGTGGCCATCAGGGCAAGCGCTCACCACACACCCGGCTCCTCCGTCCTGAGCTTGGTCATTGCACTTAAGACCCGTGACTGTCCTTGGAGGGAGGGACAGCTTCCCTTTCCTAAAGAAGGAAACTGAGCCTCCAGAGGCTGAGAGCGTGGAGATCCTCAGGTAATAGGAGGCAGAACTGGGACGAGAACCCGGGGCGTTTGCCTCTGCAGGTGGAGCTCCGAACCACGCAGCTCCCCACTTCCCAGCGGCCCACCCAGCCGCCTGCCCCATCAGTGTCACCATCTCATCTCTCGTCGTCCACTCTCACCCCCATCTCCACACTTGCACCCCATCAGGCTTTTTCTTATATGACCCTAACTTCTGCCACTTCCCACCACTGGGGTCAGGCAGAATGAGGAAACTCAGGGATTGTGACACACAGCGGGCAGGGGATGTCCCAAGGAGAGCAGAGCCCCCCAGAGGCAGAGGCAGGATTTGAACCCAGATCCATCAGATTCCCAAGTGGATCTGGTGAGACCCACTGTGTGGTGGCCTTCCATGCGTCTGTCCCTTGACCTAGGGCCCACTTGGGGCCTCAGCACACTTTTCTGGAAGCTGCTATGGCAGAGGAAGGGAAGAGACAGAGGGAACAGGATGGGGCAGGGCCCCCAGGCATTAGTTTCCTCTCTAAGGAAGGAGCCTGCCCCCACCCCAATCTCTCAGTTCCCTCTCCTCCACCGCTGCCTTCCCCACTCAGTCCGTCGCAGCTCCCCCTCCCCCTCACAGCAGCCCGGGCCTCCCATCTGCCGAGCAGCTGTCCTCTCCCTTCCACTGCCTGTCAATCCCTCGCCTCTTGCTCTTTCAGACAGTAAGTGGTGACTGAGTCCCTGCTGTGTTTCTGTCCCTGTGAACCAGGCAGGCTGTGGCCAAGTGGGCAGATGTGCAGGTGTGCAAGGAGCAGAGAGCCTGGGAGGCTTCCCGGAGGAGAAGCCACTTAAGCTAACTGAGAGCTCATCAGATCAAGTACTGCCCATGCCAAGCAGAGTGCAAAGGTGGGTTGGGGGCACTCAAAGAAGGCCGTCAGGGGGAGGAGTAGGAGGGTACGCGTACGGGAGGAATGACCTGGCACTTAAGAAATCAAGCAACAGTTACGCGTCAGGAGCGCCCTAAAGCCGCGCCCCCAGCGCAGTCGGAGCTCAATCCACGCGCACAGAGGTTCCACCTCAGCTTGGTTCGGTTCCAACCACCTTCCGAGCCTGAGCCTACTGACTTCTCATCACCGCTTTGGGGGCAATCGGCGATCCCGCATTCCACGGAAGCAAAAGCCGAGGCCCAGAGCGGTTGCGTGCGGCCCCAAATCACGCAGCTTGGGCACTGGCAGCGGCGGGATTCGAACCCGCGCGCAGCTGCCCAGGCTTCCAGCGCCCTGAAAGCGCCTCTGCCCCACACCGGCGGGGCCGGGGCTCGGAGGGGTCTCGGCCCTTCACTTACCCTGGAAGTAGACCCCCGAGCACACCCGCAGCACACGCGGGAGGGAGGCGGGGTCCAGGGCGCAGGCAAAGTCCTGCAGCGACACCGGCTCCATGGTCCGTGAGGCTCGGGGACGCCGACTGAATGGCCCGCCGCCCGCTGTCGGCCGGCAGCCCCGCCCCGCCCCGCCCCGCCCCGCCCCAGCCCGGCCCAGCGGGATGGGTGGAGCCGCCCGCGGAGGGCGTGGGACCTGAACCTGCGCTCTTGGCTAAGCGATTTCCCGCTCCCAGCCTCAGTTTCCGCATTTCTTTTTTTTTAATTTATCTTCTTTCTTCTTGAGAAAGATTAGCCCTGAGCTAACTGCTGCCAATCCTCCTGTTTTTGCTGAGGAAGACTGGCCCAGAGCTAACATCTGTGCCCATCTTCCTCTACTTTATATGTGGGACGCCTGCCACAGCATGGTGTGCCAAGCGGTGCCATGTCCACACCTGGGATCCAAACCGCGAACCAGGGCCACCGAAGCGGAGCCTGTGCACTTAACCACTGCGCCACCGGCCGACCCCCAATTTCTAAAATGGGGTTGCACCTTTCACAGGGGTGACACGATTTAGAAGATCTAGATCAGGACCTGACACCCGGGAGGCTCTGAGTAAATAAAAGCTGGTCCCCACGTCCCCAGTCGTCAGTGATGTACCCCATGGTGGAGGGGGACGATGATGAAGATAAGCAGAAGCCCCGGAACCGCCCCGCCCCCAACCCCGTCCTCCCAGTTAGAAGGAGGAAACGTGGCCCGCTGCGTGTAGCGCCGGGTCCCATAGGAAGACACGGCCTTGCCCTTTGGGTCTGAGCAGGAAGATACAGTGTCAGGTCTCCTGAACTCCGCTCCAGGACACTCCGTGGTCCTCTACTGACGGGGAACTCATTACCCTTCCAGGACGCTCAGACCCTCTGGACAATTCTAGTTAAAAATGCTTTCCTGGGCGAAAGAGTAATCTCCTTAGAAGAGAGACGGCTTCTCCTGACCCCACAGAGACATCATTCCCATTGCCCTGTCCCTCGGGGGTCAGACCGAGCAGAAGTTCGAATCCCAGTTCTGCCTCTTGCTTCATACATAACTTCAGGCAAATCACTTCGATTTTCTGAGTTTCGGTTTCTGCATATGTAAAATAGGAGAAAGAATCTTTTCTTAGCTGGTTCGGAGGATTGAATGAGATGATACAAGTATTGCACAAAATGCTTTATTTCACTTTTTTGTCACTATGAAAGTAACAGATGACTTCTAATCAGAAATAACAAAATTTACAATAAGAGGAATGAACCCTAATTAAAGACATTTGACAAATAAAAAGAGGACATTCTTTCCCCATCACCCAAATGTACTTACTACTAACGTTTTACTACTCTATTTCTTTCTAGTCTTTATTTTGCCTCTATGTGTGTGTGTGTGGGGGGGGTGTTTTTGTTGTTTTTTTTTTTGAGGAAGATTAGCCCTGAGCTAATTGCTGCCGATCCTCCTCTTTTTGCTGAAGAAGACTGGCCCTGAACTCACATCCGTGCCCATCTTCCTCTACTTTATATGTGGGATGCCTACCACAGAATGGCTTGCCAAGCGGTGCTATGTCCGCACCTGGGATCCGAACCTGTGAACCCCGGGCCACCAAAGCGGAACGTGTGTGATGCAGGGTCGGCAAGCCAAGGAGTCAAAAGAAAGATTTCTTGGACTCTCAAGGCCTGGCAGTAGTGCTCTTTAATTTAGAGAATAGTGTGGAATAGAATGGGGACAGGACCCATGGGCAGTCAGAGCTGCTGCTGCCAACACGGGTTGAGGGTAGGGCTAAATTTAAGGCATAGGTATGTGAGTTATCTCTTTACAAGACAAAGGAAAGCACATGTAAAAAAAAATCGTTAAAATGGATCAGTGCAGGTGGGGTCTGGTTATTGAGTGGTCCTATAATTTTTAGATAAGAATCAAACTGGATTAAGTAAATGGTTGAAGCCACCGCCTTAAATATTATGTTCAGCTAAAGACAAAGGAGGATGTTGGGGGTGGAGAGGGAGTCTATCATGGGAGATTACCGCACAAGTACAGTAAACAAGATGCAGATTTAAGTCCTTGCCTTTGGCACTGATTAAGAGTTTCTAGAGATAAAGTCATCCCCCCTTCTTCCTGGTACAGAGGGAGACACCTTTACAGATGGAGATTTCCTTTACAATGTAAATGTCTCTCAAGGAAGGGTAAGTAAATTCTACTCCTCAGAACCTCCTTCCTGTCTGCAGTTTTTTAAAAGTAACCAGTCTAAAATAATCTTCATCAATGCGCACTTAACAGCTGCGCCACCACCACCACCGGGCTGGGCTGGCCGTGGGTGTGTGTTTTGACTTACAGTAAACTTGTAAGAATGGTGGAGCTTTCCCAGACATCCCTCGGCTGGTTTCAGATTCCCCTAACACTACCCCCTCACACTACTGTGGTGCGTTTACCAAAACTAAGGAACCAGCATTGCTACACTACTGTTAAGAGAACTGCAGATTTCCACGGATTTTATCTGTTTCTCCCTGAGGTCCAGAACCCTGTCACCTCCACACGGCATTGAGTCATCATGGCTCCTGTCTGTGACACTGTCTCAGCCTTTCCTGTTCTTCTTATGACTTGACAGTATTTTGCAGAATACCCCTCAGTCTGTCTTTTTTTCTGAGGTTTTCCTCATGACTAGACTGGGATGATGGATTTCAGGGGAGGTACTTCCAAGATGGGGTGCCTTTCTCACCACATCTGCTCCTTGGGCACAAGACGCACCCACACGACTTCTCCCTGTGATGTTAACCCTCATGGCTCGGTTAGGGGGTGTTCCCAGGTTTCTCTACAAAGTTGCTGTTTTCCCCTCTCCATACTCTGGAAACGAGTCTCTCAGTGCAGCCCACCCTCTGGGAAAGCTAAGCCGTGCTTCCTGGGGGGAGGGGGGAGCATTCCAATAAATTACTTGGAATTCCTCTGTAAAAAAGCTTTGTCTCTTCTGCCCGATTTATTTATTTATTCAATTATTTATTTATCTCAGGACGGACTTCATGTCTATTCATTTTATACTTTGACTTATAATCTACTACGTTATTGATTCTGTTGCGTGGATCTTTCCAGCTTTGGGAGTTCCTTCAGGCTGGCTCCTGGGTCCCTTTGCCTCGTCATTCTTTTCTCTGAGCACTTCCTTACTGAGTGGCTTTACTGCTCCAGGCTCATCCCATCTTTTCCCTGCCCCCACCCTACAATCTGCCATTTCTTCCAGAAGCCCTGGTTCCTTTTCTCGGAGAATGAAGTTTAGAAACCACCATCTGGTTGCTTAGAGGGCTCCTCGCCCCTGGGTTGCCCACTCTTCCTGTCTGCCTTTGTCTTTCCTTGCCTAAACATTTACAGACACCGCTGCCCACCCCAGGATCCAGCCAAAATCGGGTCCAGCCCTGACCTGCCAGGTGAAATCTTGGGTGATAATGATGGGGATTTTTAGGCTGCTTAATTTTAAAACAGTTTATGATGAGGATTTTTAGGCTGGTTACTTTTAAAACTACAGATAAGAAGCAGGCTCCAAGGAGTGGAATTTGTTTGCCCTTTTGATCAGAGACAATTGCAGTTGTAAAGGAAATCTCCATGCCTCCCTCTCTGGAATTTGTTTGCCCCTTGTTGAGAAAACATTTACACTTCTAAGGGAAACATCTATCTGTGAAGATGCCTCCCCCTCTGAGCCAGGAGGAAGTGGGGATGGCCTTATCTCTGGAAACTGCCTGGCAACCTCATGTAACTGACCCTCACCCCAAAATCCTCCTTTGTCTTTAGTTGAAGATAATATTTGAGCGGTGACTTCTGCCATTTACTCAATCCGGTTTGATTCTTATCTTAAAGTTATGGGACCGCCAAATGGCCAGACCAAACGGGCACTAATAAAGAGATAACTCACTTACCTATGCCTTAAATTTGGCCCTAACCCTCAGTTCGGGGCAGCAGGAGCAGCAGAAGCTCTGACTGCCCATGGGTCCTGTCCCCATGCTACTCTACCTCTATTCTCTAAATAAAAGAGCACTACTGCCAGATCTTGAGAGTCTAAGAAATCTTTCTTTCGACTCCTCGGCTCACCGATCCCGCATCAATAACACTCAACAGAAAACTTCAAATCCCCCCCTTTCGCTTCGCCTTTATCTTGTGAGCGTTTTCCCAGATTCCTGGGCACAGAAGTAGTCTTGTCGAAGTTAGTAGGCAAAGGCCCAGTACAACTGACACGTGGAAACCAGTTCCAGGCCGTTACAATTTGCAGTTACAATTTATCTGTGTAATTATTTGCTTATGTCTCCTAAGCAATAGACAGTTGGTTTCTGGAGGGTGGAGACGGGGCTACCAGTCTGCCTTGCTCCCCGGTGTATCCCTAGCATTTTGCACTGGGTCTGGCGCACAGTAGGTGCTCACCAAACTAGCATCCTTGATGACTCACTGAATGAATGGGTGGGAAATACTTCTTTGGGATGGATTCTGGAAGGAGAATTTCCAGGCCAAACGGTGTGCTTGTTTTGACAGACTCTCAGGGCGTATTTCATTCGTGTTGAAGACTGCTGGGCCTCCAATGGACCCAGTAAAATGAGAAAGGAGGAGGGCTTTTGTGAGAGTTGAGAGGAGTGGCACACAGAGGCAAGCAAGGGGCCCCAGACCCAGGAGGAGGGTCTGCTAAGCAGAGGAGATGGGACGGAGGGGGCATTTCTACATGTTTCCAGAAACATCCGCGGGTGTGACAGTGAGCACCTGCTCTGAGCAGGCCCTGTACAAGCAGGCCCTTAATCCCCCTTACAAACAGGCAAGACAGACGCTATCATTCCCACTCTACAGGGGAGGAAACTGAGGCTCTGAAAAGCGAGGGGAATTGCCTAAGACCATGCAACAAGAAAATGGAGAAGTGAGGATTTTAATCCAGCTCTGCCTGCTCCTCCTGCTGAGAAAATGGCAGTTCTTCATCTCTTCCCTGTGTGTTTCGGCAGGCCGTGCAAGTCTGACAGATTTCTGCTCAGTCCAGTTGTGCCTCGAATTGCAGTAGAGGATGAAGAATAAAAAGATGGGCTTTGGAGACAGAGCTGGGTTCAAAGCCTGGCTCCACCACTTCCTAGCTGTGTGACTTTGGGCAAGCTCCTTA